AAATAAAAAAAAAAGAAAAAGGGTAAAAAAAAAGAATGAATAAATTGAGAAACTGGAAATGAAGACAGACAAAAAGGGAATAAGAGAGAGAAGAAAACTAAACAAAGAAATGAAAAAAAAAAAAAAAAACAAAAACAAACAAACAAAAAAACCCAAAAAACAAGAAAAAAGGAATGCCCCCGGGGATGTCCCTGTGCATCTGTGCAGAGTAGGGGAGTAGCTTCTAAGCCGCGAGGTACTGCCTGGCTAGAAGGGGCTCCCAAGCTGAGAAAAGAAAAAGAAAACAAACAAACAAATCAAAACAGAACAAATCAGAGCAAACAAAGAAACAAAAAATCCCCGGGGGTCCCACCAGCGTGGGCCGGGAAGCAGTTTCACAGTTGAGCAGTGTTTTGCAGCCTTTCAGGGAGAAGCAAAGATGGCACACGGAGCCAGGTATTTGAGAGAAAGGAGGGGGAGGTGGTGACAGGTAAGGAAGAAATCTAAAGAAGCGGAAAAAAGCAACACCAGCAGTCAACAAATGGCACTCAGGGAGCTGGCCAGTGTGGGCAGATGGAATCCAAGAGTGCTTCTGGCCAATAAACTGTGGCTGCAGGGAACAGAGGAGGCTAAGTGGGGGTGAAGAAGGGTAGGGGGTGGGAAAGCCTATATCGTGGGTTACTGGTTGTTCTGTCTCCTGCTGGAAGCTCCGTGAAGCTGCTTTCTTGTACCTCCTGTTCACTGATCTCCGATAGGAGTCTAAGATGGCGGATCTGTGCTGCGGTAGCTGATAGGGGACCTCTGCATGTATCTCTCCTCGAGTTCTGTTCTCAGTCAGTTTCTTATTCCATTTGGTGCTTGGCTGAGTTCTTTATCTCTTCGTTTGATGGTTAGGTTTTCAGGATTGACGTGTGACTCTGTCTGACCTCGTTTTTCTGATCTTTGCTGTGGAGGGATGGTGTGGTGCTCTAATGGAGAGTTTTTTAAGATGTTCGGAGTCCTGGTGGCGAAATGGTTAAGCATTGGGCTACTAACCAAAAAAGGTTTGTCAGTTCAAATCCACCAGCCACTCCTTGGAAACCCTATGGGGCAATTCTACTGTGTTCTATAGGGTCTCAATGAGTTGGACTCGAGGGCAATGGTTTTTTTTTTTTTATTTTTTATAAGATATTCATGGATTGGAGGATCTAATATTGTTAAAATATCAGTTCTTCTTAATTGATCAATAGCTTCAAGGCACTCTCACTCAAAATTCCAAAGTGATTTTTTAAAAACATTGACAAGCTAATTCCAAAATTCATATAGAAGTACAAACAAACAAACTAGTAGAGCTAAACAAATTTTGAAAGAAAAAAGCAAAGTTGGAGTACTTACTACACTTAACGTAGTCTTATAAAGCTACAGTAATCAAGACAGTATGGTATTGGCAAAAGGACAGAAAGAAATGTAGATCAAATGAACAAAATAGCAAGTCCAGAAATAGACCTACTCACATACGGTCAATTGATTTTCAGTAAAGATGCTAAGGTTATTCAATGGGAAAAGCTAATCTTTTCAACATATGGTGCTGGAACAACTGGATATCTATATAGAAAATAATGAATCTCAGCCCTTACCTCATACCATACACAAAAATGAACTTCAAATAGATCATAGATATAAACATAACAGTTAAAGCTATAAAACATCTAGAAGAAAGTATAGGAGAAAATCTTTATGACCTTGGTGTAAGCAAAGATTCTCAGATAAGACATAAAAAGAACAACCATAAAAGAAAAAGAAAAAAGGATAAATTGGACTTCATCAAAATTAAAAACTTTTGCTATTTGAAAGACTGAATTAAGAAATTAAAATGCAAGACATAGACTGGGAGATTATATTTGCTATCCACATATCTGATAAAGATCTGGTATTCAGAATGTGTAAAGAACTTCTACAATCCAATAACAGGAAGACAAATAACTGGATTAAAAGTTTGGCAAAATATTTGGACACTTCATCAAAGAACAAATGTCACTTAAGTACATGAAAGATGATCGACATCTTTGATCGTCATCAGTATTAGACATTAGGGAAATGCAAATTAGAGCCACAATGAGATATACAGCCAATAGAATGGCTAAAAAAAGAACAAAAAAGTAAAACAATCAAACAAACAAAAGAAACCAGACAATGCCAAGTGTTGAGATGAGGAGGAGCAATGTTCCTATACTGCTGGTTGGAATGTAAACTGATGCAATGCTTTGAAAAACAGTTCAATAGTTTCTATTATATACGTAAACACTCACTATATGACTAAGTAATTCCACTTCTATGTAATAAGAGAAATAACAGCATATGTCCACTAAAGGACTTGCACAAGAATGTTCCTAGCAGCTAATTGGAAACACCGCAATGTCCAGCAACACTTAAGGTATGGATAAGCAATTTGTGTGTATTCACACAATGGAATACTACTCGGTAATAAAAAAAGAACAAACTACTGATCCTGGCAAGGGCATTGATGAATCTCAGAAACATGTTGAGTGAAGGAAAACAGGCACAAAGGAATACATACTGTATGTGTCCATACATATGAAACTCTAGAGAAGACAAATTTAATCTGTTGTTACAGAAAGCGGAGCTGTGGGTCGGAGATGGGATGCAGTGGAGCACTGACTTTAAAGAGGAGCAAGGGAACTTTCTAGGGTTGTGGAAATGTTCATTATCCTGATTGTGGTAGTGGTTACGTGGGTGTGTACGTTTTTCCAAACTCACCAAATTGTGTGCTTAATACGAGTACAATACATTGAATGTAAATTTTGTCTCAGTAAAGTGGATTAAAAAAATCAAAGGTAAGTGGAGCAATCGGGTTTCATAAAGCATAAAGCAGGGTAGCTTTGGGAAATAAGTGGCAGAAACAAATGACCAGTCTCTTTAGAGCACTGCCATATAGATCGACCAGCTGTAGATTTATTCGTCCTTCTGCTGCTCTGATCAAAGTACGAATTCCTGGCAGAGAGGGACTGAGGAGCCTAGCGTAGGTCAGGTGCCCACTTCTGGACAGGGAAAAGCTGGAGCATCCTAACTGACCTTCCCACCCAGAGTACACTAAGGTGCCAGGGGTGGTCCCAGAAAGAAAAGTGAAGGTACTATTATCAAAGGAAGCAGCAATGATGCCTGGTGAACAAACAGTCTTCCCTGTGTGTTTCCAGGGGAAAGCAAGGAGGATGACGAGGGGCTTCAACATATAATGTTTGTTCATCCATTCATTCAAGTTTAATTTTAAGTGTGGACCATTTGCCAGGCACTGTGACTGACAAGGACGCATGTGTTATTTGAGGTGTCTAAAGAAAGAGTTTATATCAACATGAGGAAGAGAAGCCTGGTAGGGGAGGATCAGCTGGTGTGGGTATGCGGCATAAGGCTTTTTTTTTTTTTTGGAAAGATACTTGGAATAGAATTCAGCTCAATATAAGAAATAACTTTCCAGTAGTTAGAGCGAAGGGGGGTCTCCTTGGGTCAACCAGAAGTGGGAAAATTCTTTAGCAGGGAAGAGGAGGGTGGACAGTCCAGAAGCAAATTCCAGAAAGCCAAGTCCTGCCCCACCTGCAAAAGGAGAAAGGCCTTTTCATCATTTTAACCCTTTAAAGCATGAATTTGTTTATTTTTGGAATTTTTTGGCGATGCCATGTTTTTACACGAATGGAACGGTCGTTGAGCCACTGCTTATTGGTAGTTTTTTATTATTTGAAAAAATGGGGTGTCAATTGCAAGTGAGCCACATTGGCCCCATGTTCCATGAAGTACATCACAAACGCAGTACATATAGATCCCATGGCCCAGGAAGTGCATCACAAAGTGTTTTCATTCCCAAATAACTCATTTACACGGGTACTTCTGAATGTCGGTAATCTTACCTTCCCAACAATACAAACAAAATAGTAAACATACTTGCAAGCCTTATCTCGCTGTACAGAAGCCAAAAGACACAAGTTTCACACGATCACTCCTCCTGGAGGCATTCCCTCAATCAATAGCTCTCAACACTCAAATGTGGTCAGACCAAATTCCTTGTTTTTTAGGCAGTTGCACCGATATCCACCACGACGCCAGAACGTACTAAAGCGGTTCAAATGCCTGCCAATAAACCTCCGGGGTGGAAAATGCAGCTGGAACATATAGGTACATAAACATAAAGGGTTAACAGTGTATTTTTGGGTGGCCCCAGGCCTCCTCAGTGAGTCGGCAGAGGGAGCCATTCCCCAACAAATCTCTGCGCCAGCCCTGTCAGAGGGCCTGGGGGGATTTTGTGCACAGTCTGGGAAATTCCCTCTCCGCCCCGCCTCTGTAAAGCAGCTTCCCCACTCCTTCGCCCCACCTTCCCAAGCACTTTGCAGCATCGCACACTCTGGCACGACTAGGGCACCATCCCTCTCCGTCCTACATTTATGCTCCCTTCCCTAGCATCACTGGGGACGCACCGGCCACTCTAGCTGGCCGCTGGGGTGCAAGTCCCTCCTCCCCAGCCAAATCTTCACAGCGAGTCTAGAAAACCTCGGGGGACTTTGACCAGGGGGGTCACTGCACGTGAGTCGCATAAGGGTCCTTTCTACTCTGCGCAGACGAATGCCCACTCCGCCACCCCTTGGCCCGCTAACTGAGGTGATCTTAAGGTTCGTCAATTTAGTGACTTAGCCATTGGCGGGGTCACCTCCAGGAGGTGGAAGCCTCTCAGGGCAGGGCAACCCGCGATCAGGGCGCAGGATCCGGGCCGCGAGGGTCCTGCCACGTGTACCCAGGACTGTGCGCGGCGCCTAAGCGACCCCCCCGCCCCCCAC